TAGCAGGGCTATCAGAGTATAAGGACTCTAGTGGGGGGAGGGAGGTTATGGGAGGGTGTTATCTGGGAAGTAGGTGTAAAAATCAATTAATTAATTAAAAAAAAAGTTATTTAGACAATTATTTCTCATTGATGATTTTGTTCCTAACCAGAAAGTGCTGCTTAGATGTAAGACTTTAAATCTTGGTCTCCAATACTGTAGTGCCCACCAGTAGCTAAGGGAGGCAACCAGCTGCTGTTCTAAAATGGACAAATTTGTTTTCTCCCCTTATCTAGAAGCCTTTGAGAGGGATCTGATACTGATTTTAACTACTCCAACAGCTATCAAAATGCCTGAGAGCAAATCCTGAATCCATCACTCTAGAGTCCAGTTTTAGAAGACAAAAGAAAAATGAGGAGGAACCCAATAGAGGGATGCTTTTGGAAGCCCTTGTCAAAAATTCCAATGGACTCTCATATGAACATCTGAAAATTGCCCTGTTCTGACTTGTTTCTAGTTCCCTGTCTAGAATTTGTAATGCTAATTATTCCTGCCTTTACTTCTCCTTCACATCTCCTATTCAGGATTCAAGGACTCTCTTTTCCCCTTAGAGATAAGAGTTACGCAATTTGGGAGTCTTTTAGAGAGACCCACTGAAGGGGTACTCCAATTGCCTCACCCTGTGTCCCTGTTCAGCATGGAAGAAGCCAGAGCAGTCTGTGTCCCTATTCCTTGTGGGAAATTTGGGTAATCCCCTCAGAGGATGGCGTGATAAGAATAGGAGGTAGGAAATGGCTAGGCAGTTAGGGTAAAAAGGCCCCAAAGAAAAGTAGCCAGTTTCTTGGCTAAAACTCACAATGTCCTGGGTCTGTTAGCGACATACTCTGTTCTAAGGTAAAAAATGTCAAAAGTATTTGGGAGCTTGTATCTAATCCTTAAAAGATTTTAGGGTTACTTCTTCGGGGGGGGGGGGATTTTAGAGTAGTCAAAAGCCTCATAAAAATAAATAAATCAACGAAGAAGAAAGAGTACATGAAGTTATCAGAAAAAAAAAAAAAGTGATGGGGAGATATAGGAGGAGATGGATGGGAGGGAGTGGGCACGGAGCATGAATTTGACCAAAGCACCTTATATGCATGTATGAAATTCTCAATAAATTATTTATTAAAAAAAAAGTTCAGTCAGCTAAAGAATGAACAGTCTAGGGGTATATGTGTGTGTGTGGGGGTGTCAGCTCAGCGATAGAGCTCTTACTCAGGCATACTGAGAAGTCTAGGGGTTTGTGTGTGTATGGGTGCAGCTCAGGGGTAGAGCTCTTACCTAGGCATACTGAGCAGTCCAGAGTTGGGGAGCATGCAGCTTGTATCACCAGGTATATGTGGCACCTGGGTTTGATCACCAGCACCACAAAAACCCCGAACCCAAAATGTAGTTGGATTAGGAGTTTATCTAGGGTTGTGAAAGGATGGGTCTGGAAAGGGAGAAAAACACAATCTGTTTATAAAGAGCTGAGTCTACATTGTATTCTGAGGAAACTGTTCAATGAGCTTAAACATCTGACTACTCACACACTTCGGTCTTAAACATCTGACTACTCACACACTTCGGTCTTAAACATCTGACTACTCACACACTTCGGTCTTAAACATCTGACTACTCACACACTTCGGTCTTAAACATCTGACTACTCACACACTTCGGTCTTAAACATCTGACTACTCACACACTTCGGTCTTAAACATCTGACTACTCACACATTTCGGTCTTAAACATCTGACTACTCACACACTTCAGTCTTAAACATCTGACTACTCACACACTTCAGTCTTGCCGATATTCACTTTCATAAACTTACCACGCGAAAGCCTCAAAGATGGTCTACTGCCTTCCACATGTTACATAGTTTTTTAAAAAAATATTTTATTTGTTATTTTTATTTTATGTGTATGAGTGCTTTGCCTGCATGTATGTGAGTGCACCTGTGTCATGCAATGTTGCGGAGATCAGAAGAGGGCTTTGGATTCCCCTGGAACTGGAGTTAAGGACAGTTCGTAGCCACCATGTGGGTGCTGAGAATCGAACCCGGGTCTTCTACAAGAGCAGTTGGTGCCCCCACGTTATATTGTTTTAAGCTTTTAAATTTATATTTCTAGGGCTGGCGAGATGGCTCAGCAGGTAAAGGTGCTTGCCATCAAGCCTGACAATCTGAGCTACAGAAGGAGAGGACCAACTTCCCCAAGTTCTCCTGAGCCCCACACAGGCACTGAGGCATGTTCAGGCCTGTGCACATACATATACACAGACGCATAAAGAAGTAAAAAGTAACAGAAGAGTCTTCACTGGAGACAAATCACATCTATAACCCACTAAATTTCTGTTAGTTTACGTATGGTACAAAGAGTGGTTTGTTTTCTTATAATACTTAATTGTTCTAGCACTTTTTATTAAAAGGCCCTTCTCCCACTGAATTATAAGGCTCTTTGTAAAACTTTAAGAGTAGTTATCTTTTTAGGTTCTCTATTCATTATGTGATCTATGTGTGTACCACACACAAATACTATTCTGCTTGGATTCATATAATTTTGTTGTTGCTCTTTCAGACAGGATCTCCCTGTAGTCCCAGCTGGCCTGGAACACATTATGTAGACAAGTAGGCCTCGATCTCACAGAGATCTGCCTGCCTTTGCGTCCCGAGTGCTTGGACTAAAGGCACATACCACGCCTGGCTAATTATATATATATATATATATAAAGACAAAGTCATGCTCTACAGCCCAGACTTCCTGGAATTCACTATGTAGACCACACAGAGCTCTGCCCTTGTCTGTGTCGCGCGTGTGTGGAAAACACACACCTCCCCCGGCTGAATATATATATATATATATATATATATATATATAAAGACAAAGTCATGCTCTACAGCCCAGACTGGCGAGGAACTCATGATCCAGTTTTGGCCTCCTGAGTGTGGGAACGGTGAGTGTGAGCCGCGCTCTCACATAACTGCTGATAGTGTGACACCACAACTGCTTCATCTGCCGACCCATCTCGGCCTCTGAGTATCCTGAGGCTCTTCCTTCTTTGGTTCTCTCTATGCAACACTTTCTTTTGGTGTGGTTTATCAGAACCTGCTTATCAGCAATTTATGATACCTGTTCCATGTGTGTGTTACTGAGGTTCAGTAATTTCTTCAATCTGTGGGCTCTAGCTATCAAGCACAGGAAATGCCCAGTTACACCATGAGCTACACTCTGTCCTGTGTCTCTTCCTGCTTCCCTCGGGGACGTGTGTTATTAATCTTAGGTAGCTGCTTCATACTTCCCCACAGTGAGAAGCACAAGTTTATTTTTCAGACCTTCTCATTATCCATTCTCATTCCTGTATCTACCTACCTACCTGCCTATTTATTGAGAATGACTTTTTAAAAACACAATGGTGTGCCGGCCCTATGAACTCACTGTGTAGCAGAGGATGACCTCCTCTCCACGTGCTGAGATACACGCCTGTGTCAGCACACCCGGCTCCCTCTGATGAACTTCACTGGTCTTTCCCTCTGTCCTGATCCCACTGCACCCCTTGCATTTCAGACACCGTGAGCTCCATCTCCGCGGGTGGTGCCTGCATCTAGTGTCCATGCACATACATACTCTCTGAGAGCATGCAAGAACACGTCTTCATTTCAATGTGCCGGTCTGCTAATTCCATCATCTCCGGGTCTTTCTATGAGCTGACGTTTTCCTGCATCCCGTGTCTGACTGAATGTTAGCCCTGATGAATTTCATGCTGAGTGTCTTTGCCTCATTTTTCCGTCTAACCACTCTCTTTCCTGCAGGTCAGGGCTTTCCTTTCACGGCTCACCTCCAAGCTTTGCCTGGTATATCCAGGCATCCTCCTGACAAGGGGATGGTCCTTCAGGCCCCAAAGAATAGTCTGAGAGGACTGCACTCTGGCTGATGAAGCGTGATGCTGTGCAGCCTGTGACCTGAGGACAGCTGGGGCTGTGGTGAGCAGCTGCCTGTGCTTGTGCTCCCCAGCCTATGCACTCTCAATATGACGGCCTCCCATGCAGACTCCAAGCTCTTTCTGACCTGTCTGTCCCAGTCAGAGTGCTGCACTACAAGATCTAGCCTCCACTCAATTAGCACAGCGTGGTAAAAAACTGGTATGCTGATGGGGCTGGAGGGCAAGGTTAGAGTCATATACCATCTGTGCAACACCAGGAAAGGCCCAGAGGTAAAGCATGAACTTTAAAGACAACTGGGTAAATAGTAAGTCACCTTAAAGATTACTGGGTCAAGAGCAGGCAGAATTTCAAATTCCCATTAGTCACCCAACAGTACTGCTACATTAGATTGCAGGACATTGGGAGGATCATGAAACTCAAAGGCAATCCCAATCTCCCTTCGAGTACTGCCTTTAAAACCGCAGTATGAAGATGGAGATGGTCATAACACCAGCAAGAAGCCCTTCAAGTTTCCACACGGGCCCCTGAGCTAGTGGAGAGAAGCCGCCCAAGGCCACCTGTTCGCTTCCTCAGTCTCGCTGAGCTCCAGCTTTCTCCAGAGAAACCACCAAGGTTTCCTTCCCACACCCATGGAACCTCCAAGTCAGGGCCGGCAGGGCACAGTGCTCCTTAAGGCCTGTCCGCGTCTACACTCACTTTATGCACAACAGTGAAGCTGAAGCAACTTCAGGATTTTAGAAATAGAAACCAGAGAGCTCAGCACTGGTGACGCAAATCCCCACTCAGCTCTGTCAAATCCCAACATGAGCCACAGATCCCTAATAAATTAAATTACAAGTTAACTTAACAAATGGGTGACATGTGCTTCGTCAACAAAATCCTGAAGACTTTTAAAGCTGGAGATTTCCTTAAACAATGTGCTTGGTTGGAACACGGAGGGGGACGCCCCACTGCGGCACTGCTTCCACATCAGAGACTTCCACACCGGAGGCGGAGCTGAGATGGTCACCACCATCACCTCAGCACGAAGGCTATGCCTGTGCCTCTGTGTTCTCACCTGCTTTAACTGCAAACGGCTTTTCCAGCAGAAACACGGTTTGTTTCCAGTGGGTTTGGGTACTCTGGGGGCCCGTAGAGAACACGACCTGCATTGGCAAAGTCCGAAAGTGTTGGATGAAGTACAAGGCTTCTAATATCACGGTACATTAATCTACATCAAATATGAGCTGCAATGGCTCCAACAGCTAAATGCTTCTGATCAAACACCTTGGGGCACAAAATACAATGGTGTGCTCTACATAATTGACTCTTATGAATAACTCACAACACTTACCCTGTTGTGGCAATTCTTCTCAAAATATATATCAAAATAGCCAGCAACTGCCTGTGTTTAAAAAAAAAAAGAACTGATTATTAAACTAATTACATAATGGAATAGTTAATTATTCAGTCTTCTCAGACACAGCAGATTAGAAACTATTTCAAAGAGCAGACATCTCTTAAACTCATAGCAGGCTAGTAGTTTCCCTGGGAACGATGCGATAATTAAAACGAAGCAGATAAATGGCTTTTCCTCACAGAGACAACGCAATAATAAGGGACCAAGGCTAAAAAATAATCAATACATGGTTTATTAAAGAAATGTTCAAGCCAGACTACCAGAAGGTGAGAGACCAGGAAGGAGAGGTCCAGCCAGGCAAGCTGACCCAGACTCTGAGCTGAGACTCTGACAGGGAGTGAGGCCGGCCTGCACCCTGCAGCTCCCATCAGACATCAGACAGTGCAGCAGAGGGCAGGCTGGGGAAGGCCAGCGGAAGAGCCGCTCAGGTTCCGAGCAGCGAACTGCAGAAGTACTGGTACGAAAGCCAGCTTCTATAACTTCTTCTGCTCGGGTCCACTCAATTTTAAAGTAAACTGGAATAGTTTTGTGATGGGACTTGTTGAGTTTGTAAATGGGACCCATCTTTTCCCCAAAGATATAACAAGCATAAATCACAGTAGTCAAATAAACTTATGTTTAAATTAACTGTAACAGTTTATTGTTACTGTTACTGCAACAATACACGGAACTTGAAACTCTCTAGCAGAAACTGACATATTCAGATAAACATACAATTTCACTTTTGAAAACGAAAGATTTGTTTATTTCTATTTCATGTTTACATGTGGGTGCCTGCATGTGTATATGTGCACTGCATGTGTGCAGTGCCCAGGGAGGCCAGAAGAGGGCATCCAATCCCTAGGAACAGGAGTTACAGACAGTTGTTTGCTGCCTGTGAGTGCTGAGAACTGAACCTGGGTCCTCTGCAAGAACAGCTGGTTCTCCTAACTGCTGAGCCAGCTCCACAGCCCAATTCCACCTTTCTGCTCTTGTTTAAATTTTAAATGCTATCATTCCTCTTTCCTTCATAGTGGATTAGAGGTTGACTTCATCTGTTTTCAAAACTGGCATTAAATTAAGCCTATAACATGCTTAAAAACAAGACATTGATTATTGAAAAATCACTAGCGAGGCAATTTGTGTACTCTATCACTTTTGCTAAGAACGTGAATTTTATTGATCTTGGAGGGGTAATACAGATTGGGTCCAAAGCAAATCCAATACTTAACCCTGAAGTTCATTACATTTTAGATACCAAGAGGGAACTGAAATGCTGTTTATAATTCTGTGAAACAGAATCACAAAGTAATGAGGTTCCCAGTCACAGACTGTTCTAGAAAGCCACATGGCTGTACAGTATGCGCCTAAAACAAAACCCGTGTCTCAGATATCTAAAATACATCCCCACGGATGAACTCAGCTGCTTTCTGGAATTCATTCTTGTATGCTTAGCTTGTTCACCACTGTATTCCCAGTGCCTGGTCCAGTGTCTGGTCCACAATAAATATTTGCTATATCGATATGATTGTGTATCTAATTCAATATATATAATTCAATGGTACATGCATCACACCAAGTTACAGTCTTTTATCAGACTGCAGTTTATTTAAGAGCAGGGTCTAGGTGTGACTTGTACTACTACGAGCCTCACCCAACACAATTTTAGACAGATTTTCAGTCTTTAGTCTCTTAAATACAGCTAGTCTTATGTAGTTTTGATAATTTATTAAATTACTATATCCTTTGTATATTAAGTAACTACAAACTATAGTACACTAAAAGAAATGAATAGAGATAAAGGAAATTAACAAAAGAAAAGTCAAATGATTTACTAACACTTTTCATTTCTTTGGTCTTTTTGAGACCAATTCCAGGCTGGCCCTGAATTCAGAGATCTGCCTACCTCTGCCTCCTGAGTGCTGGGATTAAAGGTGCGCACCACCATGCCCGGCATTATTAAAAAGGCTGACTTTCTGCCCCATCTTCCACAATGGTCCCATGCCAACTCAATTAAACAAGGGCCCAGAGGGGAGAAGAGAAATGGGTGGTGGGCTGGCTGTAGATGGAGAACTATGGGGACTGAATGATGCTGGGTGAGGGGTATGCCTCACATACAATCTCTAGTGGGCTGACTAGAATCCAGTGGACGATTTTACACTGAAGGACATCTGGGTACAAATGCTTGACTGGATGGGACTTAATGCGTATGGCTGAATACGTGAGGTCCGCTGGGGTGGGGGGAGGCATGGATGGGGAAGGGTCTAAATTTGATCCAGAACTGTTGTGTAAAATTACAAAAGCTCAATAATTTTTTTTTTTTAAAGGCTGACTTACAAAGGCAGCAAATGACCAGGTACAGCTTTCCCCTGGGGAATGACTGGAGAGTGAGAGGAACAGGAATGGCCACGCCCACACAATGGAATCCACTAAGAACACTGAACACCAAAGTCAGGGTATGCCTCCAGGCTGGTAGACGATCCACGTCTTGCCACCCATGTGAGTGTGTGAGGAGGGCAGCTGTGTACCGGGACCTTCCCTATCTGACTGCACCCTTTCCACTCGGCTCTTCCTCAGGGTCTGTTATGACACTGGAAAAGTGAAGTGCTTCACGCTCAGGAAGGTAGGGATCCATCGGCAGGCTGGCGGACGGCAGTGTGGGGAACCTGGGGACCCACCACGGAAGCCTGGGGCAGGCTTACCAGGCAGAGACCTTGACCCTTGGACTCTGCACTATACCAAGTACTGCCAGAAGTTAAACTGCAGGACACTTCACCAGTATAAAAAAGAACCAGAAAGCTAGTAGTGTGGGGAACTCAAATTTTAATGTTAAGGCTGTCGGTAGAGAAATGACTTTCCTTCAAATACCATTTGGTCACCAAAATGAATCCTTAGGTATCAACTGATTTAAGAAAATAGTCACACTATACCATCAGGTGAAAAGCATCTTGATAAATAGTCTATGCAATAGGCACACCCTATGTGAGCACACACATGACTAGAGGCACACCCTATGTGCACACACACGTGACTATAGGCACACCCTATGTGCGCACACACATGACTGTAGGCACACCCTATGTGCGCACACACGTGACTGTAGGCACACCCTATGTGCGCACACACGTGACTGTAGGCACACCCTATGTGCGCACACACGTGACTGTAGGCACACCCTATGTGCGCACACACGTGACTGTAGGCACAAGGGCAAAGACACTCACCAACGGCTGAAGGCAGGTGTCAGACTGTGCTTGTCTGTATATTTCAAACAAAAATGAACAGGGAAAACAGGGTACTGTAAACACTTTTTTTCTTACCTCTAATACTGCATGGACTTAGAATTCAGCCATCACCCTTGTCCCCGTTCTCTGTTCCCACCCCCTTAGTCACCTCTGTACTCTCAAGAGCTGGGCCAACGTCTAACATAGTTAGAGCTGAATGAACTGGAAAAGGTTTCCTCCTGCTAACAACTCTACAATGCTTCCCAATGAAGAGATGAGCAGACAGAACGGACAAGTTGTAACAGAGAGAGAACCAGGTGGGCACAGGAAGAGCTCAAATCAGGACATTCACACCTGGATAAAGAGAACCGCTTCAACAACAGCAGACTGGCGATCATTTGGTGGATCAGTTGTAATAACAATGACAGAAGGTCTAAAGGCAGAAGCCGACACAGGAGTCCACAGCATAGAGAACAGACAGACAGGAAAGGACAGACACCTCACAGCTGTCTTCTCACCCCCAATCTAATGTTCTATGAATTTCAGTTAAGCATCAGATGAAGCTAATCTGCCCGCCCCATCATAACACAGAGGAAGAAATACTGGCTAGTTTGGGGCAACACTAAAGAATTATCTGTTTAGTTTTGCTGATGAACATCTGGAATCCAACATGGATGCATCTTGCTCTGGGAAGCGCATCCATGGCTCTATCTCCTCAACCAGGCTTGCCTTCCAAAGAAACTCTGGACGTTAGAAGAGATTCACCTGCGCTGAACAGTACTGGAAGACAGCTACACTTTATTTAGCTTTCCTAGGACTGAAGATGTGGAACATGCCGGATGGGGACGTTTCTGGGTTGAGATGGGGTTCTCACTATTGTAGCACAGGCTGGCCCCAAATATGTGCTCCTATTACCTCAGCCCAAGTGCTGGGGCTCTAGGCAGCAGCACCAAGCCCGTCTGAGCTTCCAGTTTTAAAGTGCTTCTTCTCAGCAGGATCCAGAAGGCCTCAAGAACGGGGCCTTTGTATGGGCTGTTTAGTAATTTCCCCTTATCTGTGGTTTTCTATTTCAGCTACCTAAGATCAACTGTCTGAAAACAGTAAATGAAAAATTCCAGGAAGGATCAGTGAAGCTACACAGCTTATTATAGTGCTGTGCTCCTGCTGTCCTATGTGATTAGTGCCACTCTCGTACTGTACGACTTATTATAGTACTGTGCTCCTGCTGTCCTATGTGATTAGTGCCACTCTCGTACTGTACGACTTCCTGTTCACACTCGTGGAGGAAGGTATATGGGAGGCACTAGGCTCGGCTACGATCGATCCACGGTCTCAGGCATTCAGGGAATCACTAGTTAAGTGATTCTTCAAGACAAAAGGAGACGGCCTTAAACCTGAGCCGTAGCCACTTGAACTGTAGTGAACTGCAGCCACCTGCACCAACTGCACCGTGACAGGAGCTTGTGCCTCTAAAACTACTGGACTGGGCACTGGATTTGGTTTTCAGTCTATATCAGCTGATATGAGAACAAAACCATTCTATCCAGAGACCACAACATGCCATGAATTCTTTCCAGAGAATGCAACGTTGCGCAGCTTGCAATCAGCTTCACCATCCTGCACCATCAGTGGGCAGGCTACCTTCAGGTCTCCCTGTGGAGGTCCTTCAAATCTAAGAATCCACAGCAACTACAGGAAACTGAAACAGTGATGCCCAGGTGACTCAGTCAACGGCTAGTCCTGGGCTTGGCACGTGCTGGGGAGATCAGGTGGGCTGCATGC